TGAAAAGGGTCCTGACGCATCTTTCGAATTGATTTTCAGGCTTGAGATTTGATTCGCATGCGTTGCTTTGAGGAAGACCGTTACCTCCAAGTTTTTTTGTGCCGTCCTGGTGATCAAGACGTTCAGGAATGCTAGCTCAACGTTCCCTTACGTCTCTATTGTGAACTTGATAGCATGGGACGTGTTGTTTGTGATGTTTTCTCTCGCCCCGTAATGGGCAGCTCCGTCCTTTCAATACATACACAACAACAACACAAATTCGATTTTGGACCAGCGGAAATCATCGACCGAACCCGTGCCAAACACGCCAGAGAATTTCGCGAGGTTCAGCCTTCTTCGAACTACTCAGCTATTAGGTACATTCAATCGGGTCACCTTTAGGTATAGGGTCAAAACTTATTGGGGCCTCATGTGGTCCACCACTCCCGGCTTAGGCTACCTGTTTCTATCACTTAACCGCAGGTCCTCGTGACTATGGGTTTACCCCGTCTGCTGTTCATCACACGAAAGTGCGTAATAAAAAAACTGAGTGATCAAATAACTCAAAATAAGAGAGATCACGTTGAGAATGAACCAAAGGATCCCACTCAAGACGGAAGAGCAACCTAACTGGAATTAGATCATCGAAGATGATGGGCCGAAAATCGCTGATGAAAAACCTAGATGATCGAACGGACAAAAGCAGATTACTGTCGTCAAACAAGCATTGAAGACGTCACTTCGGTTGATGATGAAATGCTTTGTGGTCAGGTTGCCTAGTTCGGCGAACGGCTGAAAATGAACAAACGATAAACCTTACAGAAGGAAATCAGAGAGAATACATTTTAGAAGAACAATATAAATGAAGTTGGTCGATCCAGATCACTAGAACTACTTTTTATTACTTTATAAACGTTGTCGTGATTTCCTCTCAACTGTGATTTCCCAGGATAAAGATATTTTCATGCATATCAGCTCGCTACATCATCATGCTAATTGTCATTAGGGTTTGTGAAACAATGTTTTTGTACTTCTGTATCGAATATCGGTTTGTGTGTTTGGTCGGTATTGTGGCGCGTGCATAACCTGATCTATCTGATGTGACCAAATATTCTATTAAGGACTCATTCGTTGCTGCTGGGTGTACAGTCTCTGGCATGAGGGTATGAAAACGCTAACCAGGCCACATAGGCCCTGTTAGGCTCCCTGGCTGGGGACACCGAGATGATGGTCACCGATGGTTAGCTACACTGAGTGATATGGCTGGGTGTCGCAAACAGTGGCGCTCGTGCATCCACTCATTATTCTCCTAACCATTCTATATGAATTCTCCATCTTCGCTTGAATTTGCTTTCAACATGGGGCACCAAAAGACAGCAACCAAAACCGGCGCACGAAAGCGCATGGCTAGTGTTTTTAAAAACTAAAACTGAAACGGTCTCTGGTTGCATCATTGTTCTTACTTTGTTTTTGTTTTAAAATTAGCTTCATTGCTTCAATTTTCAACATCTGTTGAATCATTTATTGTTATGCTTGCAAAGATCGTTTTGTCAGTGACAAATGTAGATGTGTAGGTGTTTTTCATCCGGTAGATGAAGAAGCCCTGCCTCAGTTCCATATTGGCATATTCTGTCATGTAGGAATTTATGTAGCAGTGATCCGACATCTGAGATCAGAAAAACTATTCTCTTTTAACGAGGCTTTAGCCTTGTTATGTTTTCTGTTGATAGTTGTTTACTGTCGAGCTGATCTTTGTTTCGCAACATTCACAGTTTCAGAAAACAGGGATAGACTACTGGATCCTCGGCTGGATATTGCAGCGAAACAGTTCCTCACTGGTCAGGAATTGCCGTCTAGTGATGTACATCGAGCCAGCACCGTGACCAAAAACGCACTCCCTACTCCGCCCAGTTTCGATCCGATCCGTCCAACTGTAGAACCAAGCGTACACGGGTCGATTCCATGGTCACAGCGGAGAGATATGACCGGTTCCAACCCTTCACCTCATTATCAGCAGCAACAACAACATCATTTTGTGCGACCGTTAGATGATGATGATAAGTATAAACGCCGTGTTGCATTGGGTGGTCTTGCACGTTTGTTCAGGTAATTTATTACTTCGTCTTCTCGTCGTGTATTTCTAATAGGCTTTGTTTTATGTCCCTTCAAGGGTACAGGTTTTGAAATTCACTTGCAGTGAGTTATTTTGTCGATGTGATGGGATGATGGCAAGGTCAATAATACGTTTCCTTAAAACCTGCCCGAAAAGTTCTCCGCATTGGAGCTTTTGAACTTAAGTTTCAGTCCGTTTTGAGGATTGGAAGCCGTAATAGTGTCAGAGACTCTGTTTCATCTCGAGCAATCAAGACTATTTTCCCCGTGAGCCGTTCCCTACTCCTTGGAGNTTTTTCAAGCCAATACTCATCGGCGGACGATGATCAAGCGATCGTGGTCACTGGTTCATTTGCTTTCACCTAAGCAACCAGGCGCCCGCGAGTAAATTATGAACCGATTTCTTTGTTATAAAAATTGTTATGATTTCATTGGCGTGCAGTCTAGACCCATACACCTATGAAATATAATAGTACTATAAAGTAGTCACCGTTTCTAGCGCTATTCGATCTGCAACCTTGGTTTTGCCGATTGTGTCACATTCAACTCAGTTTACTGGTGGTTGGGACCAAGTTCTTTTCCTCATGGACCTTAACGTTGTTCGTCGTCTATTTTCTAAGGTTAAATTATTCTTTGCGTCATTGATCTTTCTCGTGCCATGGGTTCAGTCATTTCTACTGTCCTGTCGCGATATCTCTCGTTTATTTCTCTTTCCATTCAGTGTTCGAATCTCCAGCTACTTCAAACCATCCCACTTACGTCGTCCTCGGACTATCCTGTCCTTATTACTGGTTTTTGTCCTGCTCATTGTTCTTCTGCAACACATGCATCGTTCCGATCCCGCTGACACTCGGGGAGATCCGTTTTTCGATCCCCATATGAATCCAAACATCCATTTGGATGAACATGCAGCCGCGGCGATTCACGGTGGTGTTAAATTCAACCCAGAGCTGAACGGCTAATTACTACCACCTTACAACACACATTGGTGGTGTCCTGCGGTGTTCTTCACCCCCTGCACTGTCTGCACTGTCTTTCTCTTTGTGGTACAGAGTTCCCTACTGCTCCTTGGTTTTTTAAGTGAAAACGTTCTCATTGTCAAGCACTATTGTTTTTGTTCTATCTTGAACAGATTTGTTCGACCTTTTTAACCTCACAATCCAAGCGAGCGGGCGAGATAGAAAATCAACTGGCAATCTCCGATTTATCACAGTATCTTTTTTTCTTTCAACCACTCGGTTTGTTTTAATTTCATGGTTTGTGGTCTGATCTTGCCACCCAACACGTTTGTCAGAGTACCACCGTACACTGACTTTCTCATCATCATCATCATCA